CCAGAACCAGACTCTGTGCCACTGACCACAACCCTCTGAGTTCTGCCATCCAGCCAGTTCTCAATCCACCTCACTGTCCACTCCTCCAACCCACCCTTCCTTGCCCTTGCTATTGGCTGTGTCACTTAAGTCACTTGCTGGAGCTGAATGATTCAGACCTTTCTATCTGTGTCATGAGAAATAGTTAACCACAGAAATCAGTTGTCTAGGACTAGCTTTTCCTTTCTAGTAGGAAAATCAGGAAAGAGTAATTGTTTTCTGTGTAGTCTTACAGCAAACTTAAAATCCCAAAGAATATTCAGCACTCTGTCCTTGCTTTTTTTTTTTTTGTTTTTTTTTTTTAGTCATTACCAGTTACTCACTGTTGCTGAAAGACATTATAAATGATCCCAGGATGACTAAGAATAGTTGCTATTTTGCTGTATAGAACAAGACCCTTCAGGAAATTCCCCAGTCCAAGAAAAGTCTGATAAAGAATCTGGACCAAAAGAGTAGGCATGACTGAACCTGGCACCATCCGGCAGGAGTTTTACAGGAGGAGGAAAATGGTAGTTTTTGCATTTGAGCAAGAAGTTTATCTGCAGTGTAGTTGTACCTGTGTGGTCTGAGATACCGAAGGCACAACAGCATTCCTCTCTTGTGGGCCTCTCTCACATTTATTTATTAATTAGGAGGATTAATGAGTAATGATCAGACAGCTAATTTGGAATTCAGCAAATGCAATGAATATGCATATAACTTTTCTTTTTCCATTTCCCTTGTGAACGATTCAAAGTGATTGCTTCAGATGGATTCTATTTTTAGATTCATCCTTTCTCCTTTATGACTGACAATTTACTGAATGAATGCAACTATTTATTGCTACTTATTTTTATGTTTGCTTACCACTTTCTGGTCTGTCACTGATTTAGCGGTGCACTTAAATATGCATTTAAGAGTTTTACTGAACAGAGAGGAAAACGGGGCTGTTCGCCTCTGTTAGCCACTGAAATAACTTTCCGATAGCTGGTTTCTACCCCGACTGGAATTAGTTTGCATGCTTTGCCCACCTTACGGCTCTGTCTGAAGTAACTGCATCTGGTTACTGCATCCCACCGGTAACAGCAGAGAAATGTCTAAAACGTCCCTGTGTGATTCTGTTACATGCTGCATCCATGAAAGTTTTTTTTTTTTTGTTATGTTTCAGGTATGAACTAGGAGATGCTTTGTACTTAGGCTGGGCTGGATCTATTCTGTATATGCTTGGCGGGATCTTCCTGACCTGTTCGTGCAAAGGGAAGAAAAGAGAGAAATACAGGTAATTTTGAATTGATCAGTTGAAATAATAGCAACTGGCAACTATCTACGAGTAATACCCATTTTCTAGCTGTATATTATCTCGCCCTCACCCTAGTATAACGCTGCAGCCATATTAAGTCAAGTCCAAACAGGAAATTATAACTACTAATTCAGTGCTAGGATGCGTCACAGACTTTGTACCAAACACTTGTACCCCCTAAATACTGCACTTTTGATACTTCGCAGTCAGCAATCGTCTATTACTAGTCGTCCATAATTCCGGATACTGCTGATGCTTCTAAGAGCTGCATGATAAAAATACGCAGTCCAAGAACAAACTTTGCCTTGTTTTGCCAAAAGAAAAGTATAACAAGAATGTAAGGTATTATAATTAAGTTCTTCTCCTGCCAGGCTCACTACTATTAAAAATAATCAAATGCCATTTAATTCGAAGAAAATGTCATCACGTTTTCCTCCCAAAATGTATCTATTAGACGCCTATGATTTTTTTTTTCTTGCTTCTTATGGTATGCTTTGTTGTGCAACAAATCAGAAAGCAAAACAAAATTCTGGCCTCCATACTTATTCTTGCCTGGATTTTTTTTTTTTTGGTTTTTAGTTTTAAATTATTCAAACATACAGAAAGTCTCTTTCTCAAGAAGAGGGATAATGTTGTTTTTTTTAAAAAAAAAAAAAAAAGCAGTTTTTTTTTTTTAAAGCCAGAACAACTCAAACGGTTGGGAGGATGTACTGTTAAAGTTAAGAGGCTGTGATAACACAGAAGGAAAAAGCACGCTCACTGCTGCTGTATTTAACCTTAGGAAAGCTATGTCAAAACAGCTAATGAGTGAGCGTAGTCCTCTCATATGCCATTGCATACTGAGCCTAAACTGATGTCATTTAAGTTTCATGGTAATACTTCATCAACCACTTTGGCTTTCAGATGTGACTCAGCGTACCTTGGTACACAGTACCAAATATATGGAAATATATTGGAAAAAAAAAAAAATCAGGTAAAACTGGTGTAGACAGTAAAAGCTCAACATGCTGAATGACAGATGCAGGGGTTGGTTAGACTCCAGATGCAGCTGTCTTCCTTTCTCATCATCTTCATCCCTGTACTAAGAAGTGCAGCTTCTTGGTGCATTAAGGTCTAGATTCGCTCCTGCTTTTTAGCCTGGTGACTACCATGCCTCAAAGACGCGCATGTGGAAGTTGGGAGCCCAGAGGTTGTTTCTGGTTAACAGACTGTGAGGGCCTCTTGCTGAGGAGCCCAGCTCTTCTCCTTAACTACAGGACTGGCAAGAACATTAGTCCACTAATTTCTGCTGCTGTGTGACGTATCTAATATCAGTGGATTGGATGCAGACCTAAATTAGGAACTGCCTCAGTATCTGAAACTTAGGTAAAAGTGTGTGTAATATTAATTACTTTGTATCTTTTTTTTCCTTCTTTACAGTGGCAGCAAATACGGGTATTCTGTAGGCCAGGCAGCTCCTCAGAAGCACATTTACACCAAAAACTCTGAGACAGTCACAAGCACCAAGGAGTATGTCTAAACTTAGGTTTTTTTTTTTTTCATTACTTGCAATGTTAGTAGTTTATGAACGCAAATAAGAAAGTGAACTGGTTCCGAGCCGCAAGCTTTCATCTTAATCTGGAGCTGATACACATTTTAGTACTGCCTTCTGGGAATGGTTTTTTAAATGGAAATAGGCTTCTACAGAAAATGCTATGATGTGAAATCCGGGAACATGAAGATTTCTGCATGCTAAGAAGCCTGGTAAAATTAAACCACAGTGTCCGGTATAGCCTGACAAATCAAGAGCAACGGGTTTATATTTTGGCTGACTCAAAAATGTGGACCTGACGTGCTGTAGCTGACTGCAAGTTAGTATGGCTCACTGTTAGGAATGCATTGTACTTTCATTAATGGTTTGCTATTTTGGTTTAGCTGCTTTAGCTTTTGACACTAAATAAGCCTTATTCCACTGACTGACTGAAATTGTTCTTTTGGTGAGCGGCATCGTGGCCATTAATAAGAATATAGTAGATATACTCTGTGCTTGAAGTCTCACATTATACTGAAGTTCACATTATGTATGATAGTCTAGATTTATAAATACTTTTAAAGAAATCCCTGGGAAACAACCACTTGCCTCCAAACCTACAGAACTGCAGCAAACTCCTTGCTGGATGGAATACAGGTACCACAGATGATAAACGCTACAGAAAGACCCAAACACAGAGGCGAGTGGAGCAAGCGTCCGATGAGAGTACGCCTTCAGAGAACTAAGAGGATAGTCTATTTCTATTTTTTGAGATTTGTTAAAATAATTTTGATCAAGCTTTGACTTTGGAAACTGCTGTTGCACGTGACTGGTGTAATTCAAGGGACTGCACAATGGCTTTAGTCTCCATCACTGTTCAGTCCTTAGAATTTCTGTCTTAAACCAGCCTGCTGCTGGGGACGTGTATTTTGCATTATGTAAGCACTTAGGCACTGCAGGTGAGCTAACTTTCCTTAATATCGACTCTCTGAGCAATGGGGAATGGAGTTGCACACTGGAGACTCACAGCTTTCATTACGTGTCACTTTTAAATCGCAACTGTATTAAAACAGTTCAAAAAAACCACCTCTGTATGTCTGTCTAATTGTAAATGTCTTACGGCAAAATGTAAACGTAGTCTGATTCAGAAGTTGCAAGCATCGTCCTTGCTGCCCTAACAGATAATTTCAACAGGGCACCTGACCCAGCAGAAACCGTTCAGCCATGGTGTGGCCACACAGACACAGCTGCCTGCTTATACAGACACATTTAAGGCATGGATTTGGGCACTGCTAGAGCTGATTAAGCTAAATAAGTAACGCTAAAAGAATGACGAGTGCTTTTAGGTTGCCAGTGTCATCATCGCCCAACTGTCACCACGCTTTTTAAAATTAGCCCTTTGGTATTTAGGAGACTATTTTCAAAAGCAGAAAGGGTACGTAACTTGCATGGTGGAGCTGAACTCTTTACCACCATCTGTATATGCTGGCCTTTTTTTTTTTTTTTAAAACTATGTAATTTTGTGATTTTTGGTATGGTTGAAAGTAAGGAAAATTCAGCGATCAGGCAGAGGATAAGCAGTTCTTGTGTCAGCGTCCCACTGAAGACTGCACTCGTTCGTGACCGTTAATTATGACCCAGTCGGTGAGATAGACAGACAGAAATTCAGACCTTGGTCTTGCACCAGATCTTCCACTTACATCACTGGGAAGTTTAATCAAAACACACGAGTAGAATAAAACTGCTATGTAGTAACACATTCATTTGTTCAGTGCACTAGTATCATATGCAGCATCGTTCAAGGGAAAATAAATGTTTAAGCTAACTGTTTGTTTGCAGGCTGCTTACCACCTTTCTGTTGCTTTTCCCTGTTTATTGGCCCCTTTTCCCTGCACCTGCCGCAGTAATTTGCTCAATGACTTTAACGAGCCATGACGTCACTTTGGGGTGTAAGGCCTTTTATTTATTCGTGACACATAAAGTGAGAGTGGTTTCTTTTTTCCTGTCACAAGCCGCTTTTAAAATAACATTGTGTGACGACGTTATAAAGCAAATTAAGTCTTCTGCTCAGCAGACTGCTGTCGCGTCCGTAAATCGTCTTCGTATCGCTGCAGCTGAGCCCAAAATCCTGCATTGGGGTCTGCTACCGGTCTGGCTGCCTTCACAGCCTAGCGAGAGACAAGAGAGACAGCGTGGAAACGGTGCAGGGAACCGGGCAAACTCAGTTCTTCCTCTCAGTCTTTCGAGATATGTTTTGGTTTTGCTATGGAGCACTGAAGTGATATTTTGGGGGCGATGAGCTCACTCTGAAACCACCCGGCGTTTGCTCCCTGCTGCCGGACGGCCAGGACGTGGGACGGGGGCCGTGCAACGGCCTCCCCTACAAAGCGTGGGTGTGCAAAATCTGCGGTGGCATTTTAGTCAGGTATTGCTTATCTATCCTAATAGCTGCTAAAAAATAAAAAAAATAGAAGGCAAGTGCCCCAAACCAACTCGATGGGCACTCATCATGACCCACAGTAAGCATTGCGTTTCTTGCCCCGGAGCGGTAGGAATGGAAAGCCGGGCATGGGTACAGTACCGCAAAGGCCTCCTCGAGCGTGAGCTTTCGGTGGCGCATCAGATAGGCAGTGCAGATGGCCGCCGAGCGGCTGGGGGCGGGTTTTTA